TGGGCCCTGTAAGGATCTTTATCCGCCCATTAGCCTCACCACTGTTCACAGGGTTGGGCACAAAAGTCTTTGCACATAGCTCCATGAGTGGATGCCTGCCATCCTTGATGTGGATGCCATGGCGGTGGGTAAAGCACGGACGGCTGTAGCTATTCTCTCGAGCCATCACTGCCAGAGCTAGCAGCACATCTAGGTGCGCTGTGTACTCAATCACATTGTTTAGCACCGCCGACTTCTCCAAGATCTTTGTCTGCATCTGGTGCATGATAAGTGTTTCCTGGTCTCTGATCTCACAGTGCAGGTCACCCAGAATGCTGTCTAGTTCCTTTGTCCTAGCACTTCTGTAATGCAGTTTATCCTCTGACAAGAACATGAAGTCCAGGCCTTCAATCTCAAAGTCACTCTTGTCCACCATTGTGGGCAGCCGTGGAATGGAAAGCAAGAATCCAATCAAGGGAATATAGATGACACAACAGGAAGGAATCCGATTGTCCAGGATCTCCAATTCCTTCCGGGCCACCTCTGTAAGGAAGTCTGAGAGACCCATCAGCTTTCGTTTCTTTTCGTCAATGGTGGAGTCCACATTGGGTCTGACAGTGAAGCGGTTTTCTGAGATACTGCCTTCAAAATCTACCACTTTGCTGATGAGACTGGCAATATAGTGCAGATCATCGGTGAAGACCTGTGAAATGGTCCGGAAGAGCTCGATGCTGCTAGGCAGGGAACGGCATGTATCTCTGAGGCACACTGCACTATAAACTGTCTTGTAAAGTGCCTGCCAGTCACTGACCTTTGTATGTGAAAGAGTCATTCTTCTCAGAATCTGAGGTACATTTTTTATATTCTTGAGGCAGTCTTGAAGAGTCAGGACTGTTTCATGGTTCTGAGCCAGCAAGAAGAACTGAATAACATCCAGCCGTTTGTTCAGCTCTGTAAGGTTCCGGGTGGGCCGCATGAGCCACAACCTCATCAGTTTCTCTCCCCACTTACACCTGCAGCGGTTCAAAATCCCATACAAACTGAGTCCTTCTTTCAGCCCACTGGCCATCTTGTAAACAGAAGGATGCACCTCACTTTTAAATATCTGTAGGACACAATAAGTATCTTGGTCCATATTCACTATATCCATGAGCACAAACTTTTTAAAGGCCAAGATGGGAACTCCGATTGTGCGATCTTCCAGTTCGACTCCGATCCGCCTCCTGTCAAGAAACTTCAACAGCCCACCTAATGCTCGTACCATAAGTGGGCTCTCAAAGGGAATGATGGAGGACAAATAGAGGATTTTCTCTGTTGCAGTCATATGAGAGGGAATGAAAGGGAATTGCCTAGATAGGATCCGCTGTTTGCTCACTTCCAGGCCAAAGTCCATATTGGGAAAGAGGACAATTTCTGGTTTGTCCCCGTCCCCAGTAGCAGCACCCATATTGGTCAGGAATTTGGCAATGTTGTGATCCTGCTTGGCACTAGTCACTATGCATTGGGGAAGGACTTCATCAATCACTTTCTGCAGCAGCTTGAGGTCTTCGTTATCAGGCATGTCGGGCATGAAGTAGACTGAGCAGTCTCCTGTGTCATAATAAGTGATCCCCAGCTGCCCTGCATACCACAAAACACACATGTGTATCTGAGGTCGCTCTTGCTCCTCCTCTTGTTCAGGCACAGGTGGTGGTGGGAGACAATGGGTGTTCAATGTAGCAGTGGTGCTCATTCTAGCCAGTTCCAGGAGCTGTGCTGCTGGTGAAGACAGACATTTTTGTTGGCACATCGCATAAATCCCTTCCCCAGTAACAACTGACCCTGATCACTTGTCCATTTTATCCACCTCCCAGCCAGTACCTGATCTACTTCACTCCTCTCCCTCTTTGGGCCACCTGCCCCTTTTCCAACAACTTTCTGCTGCTTGCATCAGTCCTCTCTACCCACACTCCTGCTGCATGCAAATCCTCTTCTTCAAGAGGTAATGAGTGGGAAGGTGTGTTGAACCACAAAATGAGTTGGATGGTTGGGCTGAGAGTTTGGCTCTAGTAGGCCCCACGTATCCCTAGTTAGTATGAATAATGATGAGGAATGGATCTCATTTCCTGTTGTGACTGCAGTGGGCTATGGACACTACTCTGTAGAAATTAAAAGCTAGTAGAGTCAGCACCTAACTGCCTGCTTGGACATACAGCCACACTCCATAACTATGTGTAAGGGGATACATGACTGCTCATGGAAATGCCCATTCTATGCACACAGACCCACCCGCCTGGGCACATTCACACAGTGCCACCCCACACCCGCTACCTACACACCCAGCACCACTCTGTAAGCCCGCCCTCCATACGAACTCACAACACACCACCCCAGGTGATCACACTAGTCCCACACATGCAGAGCACAACTCCCCACAGAACGATGGTCCATAACCTGCCCTCCCTGCTGCCAGCCCCACAGCATGACCCTTCTCCCAGATCTCTGTTCTCTTCCTACCCACCCACCTCACATGTAGGCCAGGCAGCTCTTCTCAGGCTGGGGGCTTATCTTCTTAACCCGCCTCTTTCTCCTTCCCCTTCCAGCTGCTCAGCACTCCCTCAACTCAGTTTCTCATCAGGGCTAGACCCTGCTACACAGATACTGAGCTGTAATCTGTATCCCTGCCCATTCCTCATCCCCTCCCCCCCCCCCGCTCACTACGGGCACGTCCAGACTACCCGCCAGATCAGCGGGTAGCGATCGATCTATCGGGGATCGATATATCGTGTCTCGTCTAGACGTGATATATCGATCCTCGAATGCGCTCCTCTCGACTCTGGAACTCCACCGCGGTGAGAGGCGGAAGCGGAGTCGACGGGGGAGCTGCGGCCGTCAATCCCGTGCCGTGAGGATGGGAGGTAAGTCAAAATAAGATAAATCAACTTCAGCTACACTATTCCCGTAGCTGAAGTTGCGTATCTTACATCGACCTCCCTACCCCACCCAGTGTAGACCAGGCCTAAGTCCCCTGACCCTACTTATCTCCCTTCTCACCTTCCCCTGAAGAAGGCCCACCCAGTAACACCGCCTTTCTCCCGCCACAGATCATACACCATCCTGTAAACCCCGCCCCTTCCACACACCTCCATAACCCTTCCTGGTACAGAGCACCACTCTTATCCCCCCTCCCCCATCCACACAGCTCTACCCCCACACAGTCTGTAATTCTCCTCTAGCTCTAGCCCCACGTACCATAGAAAGCAGCACTGTCCCGCAGTCTGGTCCTGCTCACTCAGTACCTCGTGGCAGCACAGGCCTGTCTTCACTGCTGCAAGGCCGGTGGCCGATCCTGGCTGTCTCTGTCCCTGCCTGGCTGTTCAGCATTCTTTTGCCTCAGCTGCTCCGTCTCCCGCTCTCTCTGGGCCTCTCATTGAAAGTGAGGAGCTGAGGGCAAGGCGGGTGCTAATTGGCGGGCAGGTGCAGACTAGAGGGAGTCTCAGTCATCAGCCCATCCTGCTGGCCAGCCAGGGACCCCAAAAGGGAGGCTGAGGAGCCAGAGATAAAGATACGTCTGGCACTACTCTATAATTCCTTCACCGCCCCCAGGAAAAGACACTGCCTTTAAATGCCTCCAACATACAAGCACAGTTCCGTAACTGCCTCCCACCCACTCACAGACAAGTGCCATTCCATAACCCCACCCCCACCAGAAGTGCCAAGTTTTGTGCAGCTCTTGTATAGCTTTTTTGCAAATTTAATGAACGACTATTTCTATTTGCACATAATTAGCAGATAATTTGTATATCACCATAAACACCGGCATATGGTCAACACACCCCGACCCACACAGTAATGAGTGGATGGGGAGCGGCATTAAATTTGACAGCTGTGCCTGGTATTGGTGGGTAGAAGGGTGATTGACTGGAGATACCGTGTTGAGTGGGTGCTGTACGTGGGAGGCTGGATGTTTTGCTGGTCATCTGGGGCTGGAGTATTTGCTGTGGGTTTCTGATTGGTGAAGCCTGGTGCAGCTCACCAAGGTAGTGTGGACGCTTGGTGCCAATATTAGGCCTCCCATCTTGCAGTGATTTTGCTGCCTCTGCCAACCACTACTGCCTCTTCCTGCCTGACTATAATCCAGCAGAGGGAGCAGCAAAAGAGGAAGCTTAGCTGATGCCACAGCGGCCCCATGCAGTTGGAAGGCACAACTGCAGGCAAATGCTTACAGCCTGCTCACACCTTAGCTGCAGGTGTGAAAATCCGGCTGAGACATCAGCAGGCAGGACAGGGCTGCCAAGTCTGGGTCACTTGGCACGCCTGTCCCATACACGCTACCTTGTTACAATCCCACACCAAGCATTTTCATCAGCAGTGCCCTATAACTTCACTCCCCATTTGTAACATCTCTGCGCAAAAGCATTGACTCATAACTGCCTCCTCCCAATCAGTGCACTGAAAGAGCCCTATTGTGCTAACGAGGCTAACAAATTTACCCTAATTATAAGCTTAATTGTAAAAAGTATATGAAAGTTTATAAATGTCAACAAGCAGGGCAAAAAGCCTTGTTTGGCTGGGTAGAAACCACCCTGCTCTGGTGGCCCAAAGGCATGAGGAAAGCTGCCCTAAACAGCCAACGGGGATTCTCCCAATAGTGGGAAATTTCCCCTGAGTAGAGTTGACAGAGCCAATAATCCCCAGTTGTGTAATGGCCCTTTGGGGGCTGTTACAAGCCATTGGAAGTTAGGGCTGCTCTAAGACTGCTCTAACTCGTGCTGGGGGCTGAACTGGCACAGGGTCAGGGGGGAGGGGTGACATAAAGGTGGTATAATGCCACTTTTTCCATCCCTTCTCCTCAGGTTCTGCACTGAGCACAGCTCAACCAGACCAAAGGATCAGGTACATTACAGTGTAAAGTTTTGTTTGTTTATATTTCTAAATGCATTCTAAAAAACATTTGTTCCAAACAGAACCGTAGAAAATAAATACGAAAATCTGGTCTCCTAATGAAATGACTAATGTAATTTTATTTTGATTATTTAAAGGTGAAAAAAATTGACCCGCACCTGTATGAGAATTTTAAAAGCCACTATTTTGGAGATGAAACCCTGTACCGCCTAGATCTTTGCTCCATGTTGAAAAAAAAGCAACCCAATGGCTACTACCACTGTGAGTCCTCTATCACGGTTGGTAAGTACAATACTATTTTGTTTTATTTCTTAATTTTATGAATTTTGTTTGAAATTGAAGAGGTTGATAAGCTGTTAGTACTGGGAATGTATGTCTGGCAAATCTTGCAGAGAAACGTTAGATGGGCGTCAGATCTGAATTAAATATTGTTACATTTTGGCAGTCAAGCTACTTACTGCTCCCAACCAATGACACATGCCTCAGCACTAGAGCTTCATGCTTCTATGTACTTTTGGCTTTCCCTCTCATTCCTGTCTTAAGGTCTGCAAGCCCTACAGGAATGAAACTTCAATTGATTTACATGTTAGTTCTTTACATGGAGAGCTTGCAGGATGGTGGTTTTAACAATGAATTTGTCTGTTCAGCTTTGTTAAGAGCAGCCAGAAATAAACTTGAGTTGGAAGCAGTGGGCATAGATTTAAAAAAAAAAAATGACAATGACCAGAGCTCCAGCTAGGATCAGGACCTCATTATGTTAGACGCTGTCGAAATGCGTACGAAGAGACAGTTCTTGCCCCAAAGAATTTACAGACTAAGGAGACAAGTGACACTTAAAGGGTGCACAAAGAGAAACATACTTTTTTTCATACATGTATTTGCTTTTTTACCTATCATTAATTGGCTGATTTTGTATCAGTATTATAGTAGTGGTGGTGCTTGAGGACATATTTAAGGCAAGGAGAGGATAGTGGCCATATCGGATCAGTTCAGTCCAGGGGGTGTGTTAACTGATCTAGTACAGCTGGTGTTTGTTTGATAACTTGGTATACCTGCCTAGAAAGGTTAAGAGCCATTGGGATAATTTCCCTGTGCCAAAATTTGATAGGCAAGACTAACAACAGCCTCAAACTGCGTCATGCCCCAAAGTTCATGTTGAATGTTATTATAGCTCTTTTCTTTTATAATTTATAAATGTGAAAAAGAATATTCCTTTCAAAACAGAACAAAAATGTACACAATAATAATGAAGAGCTCTTCTTGTGCTTCTTTTGGTAAGATGGCAGTGTTCCTGCTCAAGAAGAAAATTGTCACATTTATTGGAACAGACCATGACTTACATTTAAGTAGCAGGGGAACACCTACTATTATTATATATTCTTTTAAAAAAAAAGGCACCAGGAATAAGAAACACTATGAAGAAAGACTCCAAAATTAAGACACATCACAGAAACAGAATTTTTTTTTTCCTTCTCCTATATCTTGCAACATTTCCCCCCGACAAATTCCTAATCAAACAGTTTTTACAGTAACGTGAAACTAATCAGAAGCCACTCAAACAGGAAAAACCTCACATGGAGGACGCTCTACTTTTCTGCATCCCACACCAAAGAATACTGGAGATATTTATGAAAATGTTCACCCTTAAAGAGTGAGGATTTCCGTAGAAGGGAAGGACAATCCACGTAGTGATGTGAAAATCTTTCAAGACTACTACTTCTATCACTAGTAACTGAATGGAAACATCTTCCCTTTGGAACCTCCTGTTCTGTAAACAGCTCTAAAGGAAAACTGCCTCTTTTTCCTCAAGTCTTTGAAATCTCACAGCAAATAATCCCTATTTTCTGGGATGTTTCTAAACATGTCCCCATATTATGCAAAACCTTTGAAGTGATGATATTCTAGATATATTTGGTCCTGACTTAGTGCAGGGGGCTGAACTAGGAAGTCGTCTCGAGGTCTCTTCTACCTTCTATTTCTATGATTCTATGGTGAGCATAATTAAGGGAAATCTCTTCTGTTTTAAGCATATCCTCATCTAACCTTATGCTTCCAGTCAAGGAGATTTTGGTAAAAGAGTCACACTTTTTAAATGTCTTGTCAACTGACAGGACTGTATCAGAATTACTCATTGTACCATTTTTATTTTTAATTCTCTGGTGGATATTCTACTTAACACACAATAAAAATATTTAGCAGTTACTCTGTATAATTTACTATTCTTCTGGCTACCCTCAAAGATCTTACTACTTGCATTCCCAACACCATGCCAGAACTAAAACTGCAGTGTAGACCAAATGTGTACATGCACAGCTGCTGCTACCGTCTCTGAGTCAATAATTGTTTTGACCATCTTTATGCAAGTGCTGGCATTGGAATTCATTGTTTTCTGAAGGAATAAACACACTGCTGAGTCATGAAGTCCAGAATTTTAATTCTGGCATTGTCAGTGACTTGCTGTGTTGTCTTGGACAAGTTACTTCACCTTTCTATTTCAATTTCTCCATCTGTAAAGTGAGGATAGTAATGCTTATTGACCTGTCTCACAGGAGAGTTGTGAGGATTTACTAGTCAATGTCTATACAGTGCTTTAAACATATAAGGCACTAAACTGTCAGGTACCTGTTGCCAATGATGATACTAGGCAATTTTAGTTTGCACTTGAGTTGTCTCTATTCTCACAAAATATAGAAAAATCACTTTTTTCATATTATACTGGAGGATATTGCACATGGCAAACGAAAAACAGTGTGGAGTAGAAAAAGAACAGATTGGGATAGTTATGGTTGAATTATTGGTGACAGCAATGTGAAGAGAAGCCAAAAATGTTTCAAAAGATTTACGTACGATATTTTATTTACATTTATACATGCCATGCATGCATACATACATTATATATACGCATGCATAATCTACCTACCTACTGAACGTGGGACAATAGATTATATATGTGGTATGAAGGCTTTAATTGGCATGAAATTTGGGATGGTTGCATTATTTACAAGTGGCAGAGTATTCTAGAATATGTCTCTTCGGCTAAATAATTTGAATAATAAATATTTCCAAATGAAAGCTGTTCTGCAACAAGGATAAACCTATTTGACAGCTGTCGGCCGTGTTGTTGTAAGCATTTGTTTAAATCTAAGTGTTATTTTTGCACTTGTCATTGGCTGACAGATATATTATACTAACTAAATTCATAGATACCTTGGAATACATAAAGTAGAATATTCAATTACACAGATTTATTTAAAATATGAATCTCATTAGAATTGCTTATAAAGCAATCAATCAGCTGTTATTACAGCAAGAGCAGGATGCTTGCATGTTGACTTTGACTCAGCCATGGTGTGATAACTTAAAGACGTTGTGGAGCGTGTCATTTTCGTGACCAGGAACCAAGTCCTCTCCTTTTTGAGAGAAAACTAAATTATTTTCCTTGTAGTTAATTTATAGGGATTACCATGGCCATAGTATCTCAGCACTTCCCAAACACTAACTAAGCTTCACCACACCCTATGAGAAAGGGTATTGTTCTTCCTCTGAAATTTTGTAATAAATAATCATAATACCTAGCTCTTAGATAGTAGTTTCCATCAGTAGATCCCAGAGCATCTGACAGTCTTTAATGCATTTATCCTCCCAACACTCAAGTTTAACACAAGTTGATATTTTGATCCTATACAAGGTGGGGACACAGTGTTTGAGGCAGTGGCTAGAAAAACTAAATGTTGAGCCTCACAGAAAGAAAAACATAATCATTGAATATTTTCAAATAGAATTTGAATAGATTTTTTTCTGAACTGTTTGGTTACAAGAATATTTAGGTGTTAAATTAACCACAGAGTGGAGCGAATGCAGACCTATACATGTGACAGAAATGTAATGAAAGAGGTAAATAGAGTTTTTAATATAAGGATAGAGGTCAAACAAAGAGCACTATGTGATTCTAGTTCACTCTAGCTCTGTATATCTACATTTGTTTGAACTGTGTTTTCATGTCTTTGGAACATACAGTATTAAGCAGCAAAGCAGTACTTACTTTCTGTCAGCTAGAGTTTTGGCCAGCTTTTAGGATACACATATGATGTGGGGAGATCTAAAAAAGGGAACAGACTTAGTACTAAAAGAGAAGTCATAATATATAAGTGACAAAGAATTACACTGCTTTATTATTACCACTGCTATTACAAGCCCTAATGCCTATTAGCTTGGCATTTTAAAAACATACTGAAACACAGAAAGAATATGGAAGCACAAAGGCTTGATCCTGAAAGGTGCAGAGGTGAGATGCTCACCTGTCAAGCTGCAAGCATGTGCACAAGTTGGAACAACGCATTAGAGAGAAACATCCACCATGCTCAGCAGAGAGTGCAGGCAACAGCACCAGCAGGTCTTTCTGGGGATATAGGTGGTGAAGACTGGGCATAGTTACAACAACATGCTGAACCCTATTCCACAAAATGAGGAGTAGGGTCATTCTTGGAATCAAAACAAAAAGCCCAGCACCGTGACTACCTTAGGGAGCACAGTATAAATCTCTACATACTTAGGATGACTTAATTGTGGGTATCTACTAAACACAAACACGCATAATGTACTTACACAAATCATATAATCATAGGACTGGAAGGGACCTTGTATAAACTGTGTCCTAGAGTAGCTGTTGGTCTGAGAGAGGCTCTGAGTGCTGCTAAAACCAGCACTTTATTTATATATTTGGATTTCAGTACAACATAAAAGGATATCTATACTGGGCTGTAGGTCTCCTCTCTCATAATTAAATAAATTATATGAAAAAATCAGAACAGCAGCACATTTCTCCTCCCACCCAAACATCAGTCAGCGCACACATTACAAAAATCTCACATCCAACTGCAGCAAATGCCAGATGAAACAGATGGGCTTTACAACAGATTCATCCTCTTTTGGAACAAGTGTGTGAGCCATCAGGCTCTCTGAGTCATCTCCCTCTTTTTTATACTGAAGGGTATCTAACTCAAGTGCTGCTTCTCATCTCAGGTATGGCAGCCTGCCATGGCAAGAGAGGGGGGTCTCCCAGGTAGGAAAGTACTAAACCATTTAGAGTTTAATAGGTCAAAACCATCATCTTAACTCCACCCTGTGGACAATAGGCAGTCAGAGCAGGTCTGAGAGCATGTGTCATATGCTTATGGCAAGATACTCTGATTGTCAGATTCTCAACTAGCTTCAGCTTCTGACTGGATTTAGGATTTAGCCTCCTGTAGAATTTATTGCAGAATTATAATACAGAGGTGAGA